CAGCTGAAAGCCCCTCCCTGCCTCCACTCCTTGCTTTTCCCACTTTTGTGCTATCACCATTGCACTAGTTCTTCAATTACCACCATCACCGAGGCAGGCCAGGGCTTGGCTTTCCAGTGTGAAAATACCATTGGGAATATACTCCTCGCTCCCCCCTCAGAGTGCCTTATGCACAAGCCCGCCCCCCCTTTCCCCGCTCCCCCCAACCTCATTATGCAGCACAAAAGGCACAAGTCCAGGTCCCCACGTGCCCTTTGTCCCACAACAGGTCACCCTGAAAACAGTGGCCTCTCAGTAGCAACATTCACAAGCAAGTATCATTTATACTCCCAAAGCACAATCCGCTAGGCCTCTGTGAGGGAGGTCAGGACCATCCACCTTGGTCTGTAGATGGGGAAACAGCTCCAACCCCGACCCACCGGCACACCAGTGCAGGGTTGGCATCCTGGCACCCAGACCCAGCAGTACTAATACTGTGGGCCAATTGATGAAAGGGTATTGCCAGGGAGCCTTTGCTGCCCTGCTATTTGAGTGACCACAGCATTGTGACCAAAATAATCAATATACCCACACGTGGCAATTTGTGACAGGCACCAGCCCCAGTGGAAGACCTGAATGTGGTTCTTTAATTGAGAGAGACAGTGGTTCTGAACACTTGCCTTCAGCATTTACCCTGTGCCGTACAGGGACAGAGGGTGCATACACAGTGACACAAGCCATCAGCACTGGCCTTCTCGCACATATATACAAGATACAGGCAGGCCAAGTAAGCCGTTCCCTCTGTCCAGTCCCCTGGGTATGAGCACTGTGTGCACGCAAGCACATACATATACACGCACACACAGCGTCCAGAGGCCCATCCGTGTGCTGGGAGACAAAGGCATTGTGAAGTGGGGGGCTGGTCCATGGATGTGATTGTCTGGGGAAGAGCTGCAGGAGGGTCTGTCCCTCTTCCTCATGGCTCCAGTTGGACATGCGCCACTTCAGAGGGTTGATCGCTGCTACTGGGTAATGTTAGAAAAGGATTCAGCTTGCTCAGAGCACTCGTCCCATTAAGATGTGCCGTGCCAGACACAGCCCCCCCCCACATCCCCACCTGGGCATACACCTCTGAAGTGCATAAATGCACAATCCAGAGACCACGCACACTTCATGGAGCCCCATACAACACTGACACCCATGTGTAGGCACTGTATAGACCAGGGGTGGACAAAATGGCAGATCCAGCCTGTAGCCAGACTCCATTTCCTGGCAGCCCTGACAGTGGTGGCCCCTTCTGGCTGGTGCTGCCGGACCCAACCTCGTTGCCTGAGCACCCCGGCCCATCTTCCCTGCACCCACTGCCCAGGGCAGGACCTGCATGGGCAGGGCATGCAGCAAAGCGGCTGGGATGGGACCACAGTCAGAAGCAAGATGGGAAGGCAGGGCTGGGGAGACCCTGGGATCTTGGGGTGGTAACAGCATGGGGCCGGGGCAGAGGCACAATCTGTTCCCTGCATGGCTCTGCCTATCAAATCCGCGCTCGTCACAAGGGTGCACAGGCAGTGGATCACAGCTCTGCCCTGGTCCTAGCCCACGCTGTCACCACCCCAAGATCCTGGGGTCTCCCTGGCCCTGCCTGCTCATCTCACTACCAGCCGTGGCCCCATCCCAGACACCTGGCTGTATGCCCTGCCCATGTGGGTCCTGCCCCTGGTGGTGGGTGCTGGGGCAGCAGGGCTGGGTCTGGCAGCAGCAGCCAGGAGCTGCCGCTGCCAGGGCTGCCGGAAAATGGAGTCCACCATGGGCCATAAGTTGTCCACCCCTGGTGTAGACCAACACACCACACAGACTTGCATGCACACACTACATAGATGCACAGAGCAAAGAACAATCCACATAGTGCAGGAACCTGCACCCCATGGACACCTACACACCCACACACCACGCAGACTCAAATGCCATGCAGCCCCATGTGCATGTGCTCTATAGACCCAGGCACCACAAACACCCCCCCAACCCACACACATACACACAATCCCAAGTGCCCTATAGACCTGTGCAGCTCCACCACAATTGAGCTCCAGATAAGGCCCACACCCAGCACTGCCCAAAGACCTCCTGCCCTGTCCAAGATGGAGTTGGGCACTGGCATCACCTCCCCCTTGCCTGGGGACAACAGGACCCATCTGTTACCAGTGCTGGCAGCACTTCCCCAATGCCACATATGTACGATAAATCCAGCCAGCGAGCATGTGGCTGCAGTGAGCTGCATCTCTGTCCCACAGCCTCCCCTTGGGTACCCACGCTAATCCCTCAATGAACCAGATAACCACAAGCAGATTTTGGCAGTTGATATTTTTAACACAAGACCTACAGGCATGGCCTGGGTGACACTGTCCCCTTTGCCCCTGGATCCTGCTGCTCTCCTGGCATTCTGGGTCACCCTTCCCATTGCACTACTTCAGTTTTCACCACTGATGCAGTTGTTGGACTTCTTGCCATTAGTTAGCTGCAATAGTGAAAACATACTAGACAGTTTCTTTGGTTTAGGTCAGTTCACTGTGGTCCCCAACCCCATCTATTTCAGCCCCTGGAGCTGTGACCCCCCAAAGCTGCAGCTACTGCAGGGTTTTGCGGCAGCAGCTCTGACCCTCACAGCCCCATATGTTTCCAAGACCTTTTAGTTTTCTTCTCCCCTGACTTCTTAGAGATCCGTCCCATGGTTTTGCAGCCTCAGCCTGGCAGTGTTGTGCTGGAATTTGAGTCAGACCAGCCTTGTTTTACTGGCCAAGGACTGGGAAATGAAACCCCCTAGAACAGGTCAGCCTTATAAACGCTGCCAGTGGCCTTGCGTTGCACTAGCTGGGAATGTGGCAACACTGCTGAGACTGCTTGTGTTTTTAGTGGCCATCATCTTTAAATCAGGACTGTGAGGCTGGCCCCAAAGTCTGCCCATAGACACATACAAGTACCTGGGAGAGTCTCAGAGGTTTGGAGCGCAGCGGTCAGCAGCTTTGATAACCAAGCCACTCATTTAGGGCCTAAATCTGCATTCAGGTTCCTGCTTTTAAAGCTTCTCACTGGAAAATTGGGCCAGCCTGTTCCGTGTCCCTGGTCATGGTGATATTCCTGCTTTAGAGAAGTTAGTTGCTATGGTGACTGCCTCTATATAAAAATACTTAAGGTAGACGGACCATACAAAGACATGCAGAGTGGCCCAAGGAATCTACAGGAAACAAGCAGCAGCAACAAAACACGTTACCAGCTTGGTGTAATGCCCGAGTCACTCACTGACCTCAGTGGTACCGGGGTCATGTTTCCACCATCCAGCTGACCGCAGAACAGCATAGCCCTCCCACATTTCCAGGGGGAGAGTTGATGCTCTGCTCTGCTCCCTGCTCCAGAGGGGGATTGCAACAAGTCCTGAGCAACACCCCTCCACCCCCAAATCCAGCTGGGAAGCGTTTGGAGCTACTCTAGGGCCAAGGGGCAACAAACTCCACCCCCAGCCCAACAGCTGTCTGCAGGAACAGGCTGTGGTGCCTGATGCCTTGCACTGCCCTGTCACCCGCCCCTGCCCAGTGACAGGGCCCAGCAGCAGAGGCTGGTCTTTGCATGAGAAGAAAGCCAAAGCAAGGCCAGGGGGTGGCCTGGTAGGCAAAGGGGGTGGGAGGCTGCCCCTGGGTAGGAGAGTTAAGGCTGGCAGTCTGTGTGGAGGACCCAGGCCCCTCCTTGGGGTCCCATCCCCTCTCAAAGCATTTCTAACAGCTGGGAGGGAGGGCAGGGGGATTCATGTTAAACCAGCCTTGCCCATTGGACCAGCCTGGCATCTCCTGCCTGCTGCCCAGGCTGCACCATGGGGCTGGGCATTGCACTCCACTCCCCAGACCAAGGAAAGTCACTTCCCAGGGACCAGTTGTGGGGTGGGAGAGCCTGGTACTTTGCAAAGCAGCAGGGGACCAGCTCCGCCTCTACCAGAGGAGCCATGCAGTGGCAAGGAGCATCTGATCTCTTTGGTGGTTGGGGGTTTGGCTCAGACCCCAGCAGGTTGCAAAGCAGGGGCAGGCATATGCAAAGTTCCCAGAAGGGAAGGCCTCAGGTAGGCACGGGCAGCCTGATCTCCAGCTGTGGAACTACACCGGGAGGCTACAAGGTCTCCCAGAGGGAGGCAGGCTCCTTGCCCAGGCTGGGAGGGAGGGGGAAACTAACCCCTGACTGCTCTTCCCCCCAGCCTCCCATGCTGTTCCTTTGACCTCTTCCCCAAGCCCTCTTCTCTGCTAGCCCCTGCCCTGGCCTGCAGCAAGGCCCCAGCCCTGCCCTGGTGGGGGGCGGCACTGACTAGGCACATGAAGATCTGTATTTGCCTGAGCCAGGAGAGGGGAGCAATGCTAGCTTTCCTGCCAGCCTCATCCCTCCCTACCCAGCACTCAGGCATGGGAGGGAGCAGGTATTTGGGCTCAGCAGAGCACAGGAGAAAAGGCTGGAATGGATCAGTCTCTTCCCAGGGCAGAGGCAGGACCTGGGGGCACGTACCCCTGGCAGCACCGCCCCCACTTCCAAGAGCCCAGAGGGGGCTCAGTGCACTGCCCACACTACAGAGAGGTAACGTGATTTGCCAGAGGCTAAACATGGAGCCTCTGCCCCTGACAGCTGTAGGACATAGACCTGCCCACCGGGGAGTCAGTGCCTGCCTTTGCCTCCCCCTGGTTTGCAGCCATCACAGCCAGTAGAAGAGCCACACTGCCCAGACCCCAGCCCCAGCTCCCCACGCCCCCGCTTGCCACCACAGTGGCTACATTCATTGTGTTGCTTTGAATAGAAAATGTCCCTTGTAGTACTCCAGTCCCTGCAGGAGCAGCCTGCCACCCCTGCCAGGGACCAGCATGGGCACGGATGCAGGACAGACAGCAGACCACATCCGACCCGTACAAGAGACAACACACCCCCACTCCAACCCCATCCTCTTCCCGCCCCAAGGTCTGCTTCATCTGCCACTAGGGTCCACACCGGCCCCCCTCAGCTCGCCAGGCAGGCAGGGCCCTCCCAAAGGGGCCAAACGGGTACATTCCTTCATGAGAGCACAGCGAGGGATGCAAGTCAGTGCCATGAGGGTGGAAGCTACATTCAGGCAGGGACAGGCAGCTGGTCCCTTGTTCAGGACAGAAAGCTTGAGACCGAGACAAGGAGAGCATGCGCGTGGCCGGCCGTGGGTGGGAGGGGGCTGAGCAGTGCTTATCCAGGCAGGGGTCCCCGTGGGGCAAGGCCACGCACCCACTCCCTGCTCACTTGCTGTGTGGGCAGCCTCAGGCACACTCCTCCGGTGGCCTAGCAGCAGCGGGGCGCAGTGGAAGACTTGCGCTGATTGTTGGCTTGTTTAATCGCATCACCGTTTTGGTGCCTGGTTTGTTTTGTGAGCTCTCCTGCCCGTCACGGGGGCGAGGCCAGGCAGGCAGAGCCGCTTGCTTGCCGCAGAGGTGGGCAGCTGCGCTAGGCCCCTCCTGACCTGGAACATAGAAGTGGGGTGTGCTTTAGTGCCAGCAGTGTGCAGGTGGCGATGCAGATGAGTGAAGACACATTTGTGCAATGCCCCAGTGGTTTTAAAAGAGCCAGTATACAAGGCTATCACCCCATGATGCTCACAGGCCACTTGGTGGTTCTGAGTCTGCCCTTTCCAATCCAATGTGATTCAGGCCCTTGGAGCAGGGACCTATGCCCCCAAGCCTGGGGTGGTGTCAAGGGATCCTCCCTCCTCACCCTCGGCTCAAAACTTTGACCCAGAACTACAAGGCCCCCATATTCCCCATACTGGTGTTGTGGTTTCAGTGCCCCTCTGGGCACAAAGCACCAACTGGTAGGCTGAGGACCCAGGTATGAATTGAAGCAGCATGGCCTGCACTGCTGCCCCATAGTGAGCATGGCGCAGGCCCCAGCCCTGCCTGTGACTACACTGCTCCCCGTATTGTGCTGGGGGGAGGGGGAGGAGGGGGTTGTCTCAGGCCTCTGTGCCCCTGCTGTGCTAGGGACCCAACTGCAACAGGGTAAATGGCCCCCTGGAAGCTTGTGCCCAACACATGGGGCTGATCCAAGCAGTATCCATCATGTGCTGCTGGAGCCCTCTCCTGGGAACTGGCCACAGAGCCCAAACTACCAGGCTTAGGTTGCAGGGGCCAGCGAGTGCATGCATGGCAGGAAGCAAGCTCGAATATGGGGACTTTATTATTTGGGGTGATGCAATAAATGGTGCCAAGGTGAGTCAGCACAGTCACGCCAGTCTGGTGCCTCCAGGACAGGCCAAGGGACCCCTAAGTGTCTAGTAACCTGAGCAATAGTAGCCATCAGGGGGTCTCCTCGCACAGAGACTAGCACAGGACTCTGGGTTAGGGACCCTGCTTCACCCCCACCTCTGACTCCAGGGCACCCCCTTAAAGGAGCTGATAGGATATGGGGCTCTGGCCTTAGCAGCAAGCTGGCTCTTTTACACATCCTGAGGATGGAGAGCAAAGCAGGTGCAGGGGCCAGAGATGGGTGCAGCACACAGGGGATGCACACAGGCAGAGAGAGACTTATGACTATGACACACAGGAAATGGGTGGGAGGATCACCGCTGCATGTGAGGGGAGGACCCAACTTCTGCTGCCAGGGCAGCCCAAAGCAGGCAGCTCCACTTGTGGGCAGGCCTGGTGGAGCCTCACTGCCCCCAGGAAGCCTGTGCACAGGAGACTGCAACTCCAGGCCCTCCAGTGAGAGCCCAGGCCAGCTACCCAGGGCCCGTATTTCAGGTGAACTCACGGCCAGCTACTCGTGGGTGCACCATTCGCATGTCAACACCCCAGCACAGCTGGGATCAGAGTGAGGTCCATGAAGAAGGCAGCATTTGGGGGCCTTGACAAGGGACTGGAGGGATCAGTGTCCTGACCCCTTGGGACTGACCCTACTGCTGCTTGCCTCTCAGGCATGGTCCAGTCTGCTCTTTCCTTGCCTTACGTCAGGGGTGCTCAAGTCCCCCATTCACAGGGCCAGGGCAGTGGGCACGATCTAGCATGCATGGGGCTGGGGTCCCAATCCAGTGCACATAGGGTCAGGGCAGGCCTGATCCAACATGTGCGGAGCCAGAGGTGGGCCAGTAAACCCAATCCAGAATGTGTGGGGCTGGGGCCCAATCCTGCACATGGGTTCAGGGCATGGGCACATGAGGATAGGGCCCAGTCTGGTGTGCACTGGACCCAGCCCATGGACCAATGCTACACCACTCCTCCAGCCTGCGGGGCCAAGAAGTTGGGCACCACTGCCTTAAGCCTGTGCTCTCAAGGCACCAAGCAGGTGGAGGGGATCTGCCTGTCGGGACACCTGAGAGAGCCCTGAAACATCTGTTCAAGCCTAAGGGAGGGGGCAGGCAGCAGAGGGCAATGCCTCAAGGCTGGTGCTATAGCTGAGGTGGATCGATGGGGTCATTGGTAGCAGCCTGTGCCATGCATGACCCTGCTAAGGTGCCTCAAGGCTGGCCAGGAACAGCTTCCAGCAAGGATCTGGCAGCAGAGTCTAGGCCAACGGTGATGATGAGGAGGACGGTGACAGCAGCGGTGGGATGGGATGTGATGTGATGGGTGGGATGGCAGTGGGTGGCAGATGGATGAGAGGCAGCTACACCACCCCCTGCTGAGCCGGGTTGTACCTTCCTCTCCGGATGTTCCTTTGGGAGGCGAGGAAAGGACGGGAGGAAGGGAGAGTGGGGAGGAGAGAGAAAGAGAAAAAAGGATGGGGTGGGTTAGTGATTGCCTCTAGGGCCAGCCCAGCTGCTCTTGCCCTAGCTTGATCCAACATTCCTGGGCATGCTAGGCATCACCGTATGGGCAGCTCTGCCCTCCATGGCTAATGCCTTTCTCCCACCATAGACAGGGCATGGATGACCCCGCTGCCATTACTAGGCAGGGCCACTGGGCACCTCAGGACCCAGATATGGGCAAGGAGCAGCAAACCAGCCTGGCCAATGAAAAATTCCTTCTATGGAGAGCTGGTCCCAGGTGAGGCCAAGGAACTGGCTCCAGGTCAGTGGGTCCAGCAGCAGAAATCAGGGGAGCTGCTCATGGGCCACGCAGCTTTGGTATGGCCTTTGCCAGGCTGGGAGCAATGGGCATCACCCATTCTGGATGGGCTCACAGGCACCAGCTGGACCCTGAAGGCCAGGCAGCAGGCACCCCTGTGGAAAGCAGCAACAGCCTTTACCCAGGGTAGGGGGTGCCTTGCTGGAGCCACTCTCCAAGGACACAGCTCACTTGCCTGGGCTCAAGTCCCTTTCCATGGGTCCTGGGCACCTTCTTAAATTCCATGCTAGCCCAGCCCTGTGTGACTAGGCAGGTGCCCCTGGGCTGACAGGAGACAGAGATCAGAGTTACACTGGCTCGTCTGGTCCCAACATTGCGAGTCAGGCAAGAAAGGGAGAGTTTGGACAAAGCCCAGCCCTGGGGGGAACATCTGCCTCCTGTCACTAGCTGCAGAGCCTCAGCGCACAGGCCCCAAAAGCAGCAGGGCTGAAACAACTGGCCACATGCAGCATGACATGCAGCAGGCAAGGGGCAGCTGAATACCAGTGACAGCTGAAGGGAGAGGCTATGGCTGCCACCAGGCAGGCCACAAGGGACCAGCAAGCCCTGCAGGCCCAGCCAGGGGACAGGAGTACCTAGGGGAGGCTTTGTAGCTGGTTCCCATGGCCTGGCTAGAAAGAACCGATCAACCAGAGCTGGCTGGAGTGAGAGCTCACTCCATGAGCTCCTCCTTGCAATAGGCCTCAGGGCCCTTGGTCCAAAGCACCCTGGCATTCAGTGCTGCCAGGTCTCGTGGCCTGTTGCAGACACCTGGCACACACGAGTCAGGGCACAGGCCCACATTCCCCTCCACACAGGAGCACATGCCAAGCAATATGTGCAGTCGCCACACGGCAGGGCTCACACCATACACAAGCCCTTGCATGCAGCCCCCAACAGCTCCCCACTTCAAACCCCACAAGACAGCTCTGGACTCCCCTGGAACTCCCACAGGCTGACAGGGCACAGCAGAGGGGGCACCACATGTCCCAGAGTCTCCCTGCCCCCATCAAGATATTTCTTCCTCTCTTCTCTCCAGCAGCCTGGCTGGAGTCATGCCCTTTGCCCTCCAGCCCCCTCTCCTCCTCTGCATGTTTGGGTCAGGTCTCAGCCTTTGGTTGACCCAGGACTGACCAAGGGGTGGGGCTGCTTAAACATCACCCCCCCGCCCACAGCTGACCGCAACTGGCCTCTTAGCAATGGATCTGGGCACCCCAGAGTCTGCTGAGAGTCTCAAAGCCATGCAAAGGTTCCCATTGTCTAGGAAATACTCCCTCTTGGGGTTGCCTGTGCCTGCAGCGGCTGGCAACACAGTACAGTAAGACTCCTGAGCTGGAGGGGAGAAGGCAATCAGGAAGAGGCATGCAGTGTTTACTTACTTAAATCCCCAGCCAGTCCCCCCTAGGACAATGGCAGCCACCAGCACAGCCCCAGCGATGGAGCCGATAATGATATTGGTGCCGCTGGGACCTGTGACAAAGGAGACAGGGAGGGGAGCACAGGGACATATCAGTCATGGAACACAGACATCCACCTACCAGCAGTGCTTAGTGAGGGCACCAAGGCAGACCAAGCACCCACAGCCTCCCCACACAGTGCCTTTATTGCAGTCTCCTGGCCCCCTCCCCAGAGATGTGCTAGGCACTGGGTTTGGGCCTGGCTTGGCTCTAGGAAGAGAAGGTCATGTGGTGTCTGCCACAGGGGAGCCCACCCACCAGCACCACTCTAGTGGAAGCCAGCCCAGCCCTTAAGGGGCTTCTCTGAGCTCCCGGCTCTGACTGTGAGGCAGGGGAGTGGCAGGGCCTCACCCAGACCCCTGGGCTCAGCACACACCCCAAAAGACTCCCGCCACCCCATCCCCAAGTGCTGTCAAGGCACCACAGTCCTTAGGCTACATATCAGCACACCCTGGAGAGAACCTGAGCAGAGACCACCATTGCTTTTCTGGGGCCTGCAGCTGGCAGTGCCATGGGGGGAATTCCCAGTTAGAAGAAAGTTGCTGGCTGGGAGAATCAAGAAAGGGGTGGGGGAGTGTAAGCAAGACCGTGCAACTTGTTGGAGGGGTCAGGTCCCACATGGAGGAGCACAACTAGTGCAGTTCCCAGGTAAATGCCCATGAGTAGGGTCCCAGATGGGAGAATACAGGGGTGGGGCTCCCCAGTGGTGGGGCTCCATGTGTCAGATGTCCCATGTGTCAGAAGAGGAAGTGGTTTCTCTCAGGATGCTTGAGGCCATGCCTCTGGGTAGGGCATGGCATCTGCAAGGGGCTCACAGCCATTGCTAACTGCCCCAGGTAGCTCCTGGCAAAGGAGTACCCCTCCTCTCCCCAACTCCTACTGGCTCACACGGACCCTTGTACTTCTCCGTTTCGCCTGTGGGCTTGGGCTCCGGGATGGGGTCGTAGACACTGCAGTCCTTGCCTGTCCAGTCAGCGTGGCAGATGCATTTGCCCTCATTGCTGCAGACCTGTGGCAGGGGAATGGGAGGCGGGTGAGTGCCATAGGGCAGTGAACCCAATCCTTAGGCAGGGCAGCATGGCTTCAGGTACTATGCTCCCCACAGCTGTGGAGCACCCAGGCCATGATTCATAGATTCATAGATGTTAGGGTCGGAAGGGACCTCTATAGATCATCGAGTCCGACTCCCTGCATTCCTCTTGAAGACTCCCAGGGTAGGGGAGAGCACCACCTCCCTTGGGAGCCCGTTCCAGACCTTGGCCACTCGAACTGTGAAGAAGTTCTTCCTAATGTCCAATCTAAATCTGCTCTCTGCTAGCTTGTGGCCATTATTTCTTGTAACCCCCGGGGGCGCCTTGGTGAATAAATACTCACCAATTCCCTTCTGTGCCCCCGTGATGAACTTATAGGCAGCCACAAGGTCGCCTCTCAACCTTCTCTTGCGGAGGCTGAAAAGGTCCAGTTTCTCTAGTCTCTCCTCGTAGGGCTTGGTTTGTAGGCCCTTAACCATACGAGTGGCCCTTCTCTGGACCCTCTCCAGGTTATCCGCATCCTTCTTGAAGTGTGGCGCCCAGAATTGCACGCAGTACTCCAACTGCGGTCTGACCAGCGCCTGATAGAGGGGAAGTATCACCTCCTTGGATCTATTTGTCATGCATCTGCTGATGCACGATAAAGTGCCATTGGCTTTTCTGATGGCTTCGTTACACTGCCGACTCATGTTCATCTTGGAGTCCACTAGGACTCCAAGATCCCTTTCCACTTCCGTGCCACCCAGCAGGTCATTCCCTAGGCTGTAGGCGTGCTGGACATTTTTCCTCCCTAGGTGCAGCACTTTGCATTTCCCCTTGTTGAACTGCATTCTGTTGTTTTCTGCCCACTTGTCCAACCTGTCCAGGTCTGCTTGCAGCTGTTCCCTGCCCTCCGGCATGTCCACATCTCCCCATAGCTTTGTGTCATCTGCAAACTTGGACAGAGTACACTTCACTCCCTCGTCCAAGTCGCTGATGAAGACATTGAAGAGTATCGGTCCTAGGACCGAGCCCTGCGGGACTCCACTGCCCACACCCTTCCAGGTCGATACCGACCCATCCACCACGACTCTCTGGGTGCGACCTTCTAGCCAGTTCGCCACCCACCGGACTGTGTAGTCATCCAAGTCACAGCCTCTTAACTTGTTCACCAGTATGGGGTGGGATACCGTATCGAAGGCCTTCCTGAAGTCTAAGTATACGACATCCACCCCTCCTCCTGTGTCCAGGCGTTTTGTAACCTGGTCATAAAAAGAAACTAGATTGGTCAGGCACGATCTGCCTGCCACGAACCCGTGCTGGTTTCCCCTCAGCATAATTTGTCCTGCCGGGCTCTCACAAATGTGAGCCTTGATAATTTTTTCAAAGACTTTGCCAAGGATGGAGGATGATGGACCACAGAACTGGCTCCACCACCCCAGCAAAGAGCACACGCTCTCCTGGGTCATAGCTGTACAGTGAGACCTGGCCAGAGAAGCAACAGCCATGGCCTCATCCATGTAGACTCTGCAGTGTCCCATGGCAGAACACACCTTAAACTCCCATTCCCCATCCACCACCATGTGGGCAGCCAGGAATAGGTGCGACAGAAGCAAGGGATTCATAGCCTTTGAGCAATTCCTACCCACCCCACTGACCTAGCCTGAGAGCATCCCCACCAGGCAGGATGGTATATTGGCCTTGACACCTGGGGAAGCAGGGATAGGCAGTCCCCAAGCTGGAGGGAGTATGTGAATGCTCTCCCATGCTGTGGGAATTAGGAAGAACCCCTCCCTGTATTCTGCACTCCAGCCCCAGCAAGGACTCACCCCACGATCAAAGCAGATCTTCCCATCCCAGCTGCCCGGGCAGGAGCTGAAGTCAAAGGCTGACACTGGAAGGCATTTATGGTCAAGACACAACATGCTGGGGCCACAGGGTGTGCCATCCTCCACATAGCTCATGTCAGAGCCATCCACCAGCTGGACGTGCCCACCCCTGGATATCGACAATGGGGAAAGGGAGTAGATAAATCAGAGAAAGAAAGTGCTCACAGGACAAGGCAGATGGAGGAAGAGAAGCAGCTGTCACCACTCATTCCATGGGGCCCCCAAGGTTGCTCCTGTGGTGGAGGCTCAGTGGTAACAGCCTGGGGCCTCATCTTTGCCAAGGGAGACTCCTTGCTGGCAGTGTGGTGAGCTCCCCTGGCTCAGGGGTTCTCCTCTGTGGATCAGAGCATCTGTTGCACAACTGGTGCCCTGGGGTGATGGTGTGAATTAAGACTTCATAGGACTATGAGCTGGGAAGAGTGATGGAGACAGCCCCACCATGGCTGGATCAGCAGAAGGGGCCCACTACTGAGACCACCCACCCACCTGGCCAAGAGAAGATGCTTGGTGAGTGATTCTCCACTCCCTGATCTCAGCTCTTCAACAAGGTCCCTCCTTGACCTGGTGAGCTCTCCAAGACCAGGAGAGCAGGTTGGGACTCCCAGCTCAGCCACGTGCTGAGTAGGCTCAACAGCTAACCCAGACCTCCTCCACTGACCCCAGGGTGAGAACTTGGCCTGGCCCAGCTGCTGAGTGGCCCTTGCCCAACACACCTGCAGTCGATGTATCTGTTCTGGTGGTAGAAGGTCATGGTGGTGATATCCCCACTGAGCTCGCCCAGGCGGGGTGTGCCTGTGATGTTGGCGCACAGAAGGTATCCGCACAGAACGTCCCTGTGTGGCAGAGACAAAGCAGAGCATCTGACCTGCCTGTGGCTGGGAACCCCCTCACTGCCCATACGTGCAGGCCCGGGAGGGGTAGGGGCGACACACAGCCAAGCTACCAAGATCACTGTCCCCAGCCAAGCAGCCACACCTTGGCCATGCCCTGCTCCCCAGGAAGGAGCTGACACTCCAACATCCAGGGGGCTGGGCTTAGTTGCAGAGAGGGAACAGCAAAGGGGGTGGCACTGCCCACTGACCCAAAGGGAGAAGTGGCAACTGCTAGGCAGAGGACTTGAGGAAGGGGGTGGAGGTGGCTGGGCAGGGAGGAGATGGGGGATGGCTGCAGTAGGATCCCCTGGCAGGGGTGAAAGTTGCAGGGGTGCTGGGGCTGCTTGCAGCGCTGCTGCTGGCATGGACAGGGATGCTGAAGTGCCTGCCCTACCGATCAGCACACCCTAGGAGGGGCAGCCCCTGCTCCAGCACATGTAGCTCACTTACTGCTTGTTGCACTGCATCCAACCCCGGCCACTGCGCCCACAGTTCCCCCTTTCAGTCCCTTCCACATTCAGCTTCTCATAGCAAAACCTGTCAGCTGCAGCTGGGGGCAGGAGAAGAGAGCAAGCATCACTCCCAAGCCTGGCTGCTGCCCACATCCCAGCTGCAAAGGATCCTGGCAGGGGGGATGCCACAGTTGGGCAGCAGGTGGCACTGGTGCAGAGGGAGTGTGTCCTGGCACACATCTCTCTGGGGCACCTCCCCGGCAGTTCACATGCCCAGGAGCACATGGGACATATGTGTCAGGTTAGCATGGGATAGGCGTGTAGGGGGCTCTTCCCATAAGGCAAGCACTCCCATAATCTATGCACAGGGCAGGTGGTGCTAGCCCTTCTGACGGGGACACTGAGGCACTGAGAGGCAGGCGCCTTGTCTCAGGTCAGTGACAGAGCCAGGATACAAGCTGGCTCCTGGGAGCACTCTGGGCTCCTTCCCCTGGGCCATGGGTGACAGCCTACCGCATGGTACAGACCATGCATGCCAGTCACATGGACAGCAGCAAACAGACCGCTCCTTGTGTCTGCAATCACTGGATTTGCTGAGGGGAGAAATGAGAGAAGCAAGGTGGTTTGGGTGGTAGCTTTTTCTGGACCAGCTGTACAGTTGGGAGTGATATTAGACAAGCCTTTGGGCTTCCTCAGGGCTCGGTCTTCCTCAGTTGTCCAATAAAAGCTACCAGCAGCCCACCCCACCCAGCTTCTTGCATATTTCCTGGACCATGACAACAACAACACTCCAGCCCTATATACCATAAACGAGAAGAAGTGAAGGAGCCCCTATAGCAGGGCTTGGTCCAAAAGCTAAGGCAAGCAGAGATGCTGCTTTCACAACAAATCTAATTCCTCATGCGGAAACCTGCTCTTCCAACAAGGGGTGGGTAAAACAGCAAGAGCAGCTGGAGACAACCCCTAGTGCCAAGTGAGATGAACACAATGCAAATGGCTGGTACAGAACTCAAAGGGGGACGGGCAGGCAGGCCAGTCCTGGCTCGTTCAACCAGCCCAGAGGTGTCAGCTGAGAGATTCCACTGGAGTAACACCGGTCTCAGCTTCAATGGGAAAGAGAACCAGACCCACAGGCTGATGGCCTGGCCTTTTGATTTTACATAGCCAGACCTTCACCCTCACTTATATATCAGGGGACAGTAATGTGGCCAGGTTCTCTGCTGCCCTCTCCTCTGTGCTATTGCTTGCATGATCACATGAGTGCAGGGTGTTTGTTCCACTGGGGGGTATGCTGGCCCTCCTCTGCACTGGAGCAAGCACCTGGACAAGTGGGGAAGGCAATGGGGTTCAGGGTGTGTGGTCCAGCAAAGCCCCTCAGGCCATGGGCCCCCATGGCTCCAGGAAAGGTGCCACCACCTGATCGTCAAGGAGCTGGAGCATCACTGAAACCAGATGGGTTTTTACATGGTTTTGCTTGAGAATAACATGGCAAGACTAGGCCCAATTCTGACCTCACCAACAGGAGCCTGGGGGAGGGGGACTCTGCTGGAGACAGGCCTGCATCCACCATGCAGAGAGAAGGGCAGGCAGAGATGGGCAGAGGCACACAGGGGGAGAGCTGTCCTGTTCATTGACTCAGCACTGGAGGTCTCTCCTATGATTAACATCTCTGGGAGGTAGGAAACAGTGACCCTGGCCCAGGCAGGAGCCATGGATCTCAGGCCGTGTGTCACAGATGGATCTGCACCCACACACAGGGCGCACTCACTGCCTCAGTGGCAGAGACCAGTTTATATGGCCTCTATTGGCCCTGGGTTCCTCCAAGACCCGCCCTCCAGTGCTCTTCTGCCCTTCCTTGCCCCACTGCTGTCCTGAGCTGCCCCCAGCCAGCTCTGTGCTACACTCCCAGCTCAAGGTATGCTCGCAGGCCAGGAGGGTCAAGAAGCACTTACCGCGTCCCCACAGCGCATTGCACTGCCTGTCCCGGGTTTTACACCTGCCACCATAGCACCGGCCCTGAAGAGCAGAGAAGCCCAGGTTTCACAAAGAGGCACATGCAGGAGTCTGTGTGCTCACAAGCACAGCTCACAACATGTGATGGGGACCACGGTGATACTGCATGAGGCCATCAGTGCCTTCTTGCCCGTGTATACTGGGAACACGCATCTATCTGGGCTGCACAGGGGACTGACTCCAAATGTGCAGTTGATGGAGAACGTGTGCATGTGTGCAAGTAGTACAAACCTGAGTGTGTAACTCATCCCTCAGAAGGAGTGTGCATGCTCCTGAGTGAACCTAAGCATGTAAGTCAGCCCCTTGCAGGAAGCATATCCACACCTGCAAGCCTGTGAGAATGGGTTAGTTCCATAAGGGAGCATATACACATGCTCACAGACCTGACTGTGAGGCCCAGCCCCTCATGGCAAGCTGAAATGTCTAAGTCAGCCCTGTGGGGATCATACGTACATGCAACCCCACGTGTGTGAATCAGCCCCCGGGAGCACATGTGCCCATACTGTGCAAGGACAGCCCTCACCTGCTCGTTTTCACACAAGTAGCCATCCAGCTTATGAAGATTGGGTGGGCACTGCACAGAGAGAGAGAGAGAGAGAGAGAGAGAGAGAGAGAGAGAGAGAGAGGGATTGTAGACAGGACTTGCCTCCACACAGCTCACCAACTGCTACTCTGTCCTAGTTTACAACCCCAGTTATCCGAGTCCAGGGACTGCCCTCGAGTGCCACTGGTTCTCCTCTATCCTGACCTGAAGCCCCCCCAGTCTTAGTCCTGCTCAGCCCTGCCTGGCTCATCTCTTCCAGTCCCCCAGACTGCAGTGCCCTGGCATCCACCAGCAGCACAAACACAGGGGGCTAGGGGAGTGGAATGAATTCCTGTACAGTAGGTGTTCATAATACCTCCATTCCCCAGGAGCCCAGTGAGCACCGCCAAGCTGTCAGCTCCCAGTGAGTACCACCAAGCTGTCAGCTCCTCTGGGCCCCTCCCCAGCTCCAATTCCTTCCCAAGCTCCTCTCACCTGGCTGGAGTCCCCAGTGCAGGTCTCCGCAATGTCGCACTCATTCACAGCCTCTCGGCAGGGCATACCCCGTGGCTCGTACTGAAAGGGACAGGAAGGAGCAACATGGCACTTTGCAGAGGGGCAGGAAGGGGGCCCAGGGCTGCAGTGATGCTAATGCTCCTGCATGTCAGGGGCTCTACCAGAGTTGGGGGACGGGGGTTCAGCCATCCTCCCTCTCCAGTTGGTTGGGGGGCCATTACTGCAGCGTGACCTCTGAGCTGGAGCATGCCAGGGTGGAAGATGCATATACACAGAGACTCTCAGGCCACATGCTATGCAGTGCTGCTTTTGACTGGGGGTGTTTGTGCACTTCAGGGTGCTGTCCAAGAGCTGACCTCCCCCATGCCAGAGGGGTTAGAGCAGGGAGGAGTCAACCTTTTAGTCAGGTGTGCTGCTAGGTCAGCCTTGCACCCTCCCTGAGTGCCACTCCAATCCCCCTCCTCTGCCTCATCTGTTGCTCAGCCTTCTGCTCCTTGCCTGTGCTCACTGCCTGATTTATTGCTCTACCTTCTTCTCTCTGTCCTACCTGCCACTCCCACCCCAGTGTGCTGTATGACCCACACACTGGCTGCCCATGCCACAGGTTGGCCACCCCTGCATTAGAGTATTACAAGGATCACCCCCAGTACAAGAAGAGGCAGGTAGACTGTCTCCATCCCTTGTCCTCCTCCAGCCTGGGTTCAGCAATGCACTGAGCAATCTGTTCCACCTGAGAAAGCCCCTGGGGTGGGGGGAGGCAGAAGGGACTGGGTCTGTTTTTTACAGCCATGGCAAATATCCTGGCACATGAATAATTCACTCATATTCCAGCCTGCCCACTCACAGGCACTGCCCTCCATTGGAAGGGACCTGGCCCAAGTTTCAGCTGTGGCACCCTCTAGTACCTGCAGCCTGCTCTACCCTTTACCAGATAAGGGCAGGGCCTGATCCCCACCTTGTCCCCCACCCGCCATCTCTCACCTTGCAGCCTCTGCAGCAGAGCCCGTCACTGCACATGGCATCATGGGTCAGGGTGCACTTCTTGCAGCAGCTGCCCCCGCCCTTCGCACATTCCTGCCCAGGATAGAAGCCAACACACGTGTCAGGGAACCCAGGCCAAGGGTCTCTGGCTCCAACGTGGGACAGGGGGCAGGACAGGATGGTTCCTACCTACAGGCCAGACTGGGGAAAGAAGTCTCACCTCTAAGCAACCATGGATGCCTTCAACCCTAGCATGCTCCCAACAACCCCACCCCCAACAAGTGGCAAGAAACTTGCCCTGGCTTCCGAACTAGAGAATGAAACAGCTGCAGGAGCAAGAGCAACCCGGGACGGACACCTGCAGATGCTCTGAGTGTGTATCTGTTTCCTGTGCAGCTGTGGGGTGCAAGAGGTGGCCTTGGGGCACAGGGACATGGCTAAGGCCCTGGGGCCCCAAGGCCTCCGCCCCATCTCCCCAGCACCACAGCCATCACTTGTCTAGTTTGGGATGGGGCAGGTGCCAGCCTCAGGCCAGGCCCCTGCCTGCCCAGCCCACAACCTGCTGGCAGTGCCCCTGCTGGTCATCCAGGGGCGGTGGTGGGGGGGAGTGGGGGGACTAGAAATAGCTCCAAACCTCCCTCCCCCTTCTATCATGCTGCTTCCTTAAAGGGTTTTTTGCCTTCATCTGAAGGAAAATTTCCACAACCAAAAGGAATCCACTTTCAACACACATTCATCCAGTGACAACATTGACTAAAAAAATCAATGCCAGAAAATCCAAAAAACACCTCAGATTGGACACCTAACAGCTGACAAAATTCAAACCTTGATCGTTACATTGACTGCTTCAGAGAAAGAATGAACAATGAAATACTCAACAACAAACACCACTATAACAACCTCTCCCTCTCAGAAAGAAGGGCCATAGAATCTCTAAGATTCAACCACCACATAGTAACAAAACCAGCAGACCAAGGGGGAGCTATAGTTATCCTTAACCATGAAGACTACATAAAAGAAGCCAACAGACAGCTCTCTGACACTATCTAATGTACAAAACTAAAGGAAGCTCTTACTCCCCTTTTCTCCTCAAAACTCAAAACCACCATCACATAATTTCCATAGATTTCATAGACATTAGGGCTGGAAGGGACCTTGGAAGATCATCGAGTCCAGCCCCCTGCCCAAAGGGCAGGAAGTCAGCTGGGGTCATAGGATCCCAGCAAGATAAGCATCCAGTTTGCTCTTGAAGGTGTTCAATGAAGGCGCTTGAACCACCTCCGGTG